GAGAAAGTTTCGAATTTGAATTTTAATACGGACAAGAAGGAATATGGGTAAGAACTTCTCAAGTTCAAAAAGCACAGGCTTGCAGCCAAAGCAGACAGTCTGTCTCAGCAAAGAATACGGGAAAGTAATCACATGGCCTTGCAGTTGCATTGCATTCCCCATATAACCTAACAATTAAGGCCCGTTTGTTAAACAACTATTTTATTTAAAAAGTTTTTATTAAAAAATATTGTATAAAATATTATTAAACTATATAATAAAATTATATTTGAATTTTATTGTGTTATTATCTTTATGTTATTAGACTTTTTTTAATTTAGTAAGAAATTAAAATAAAGAAAGTTGTTAAGTAAGACTAATATTAGAAAAGTTATATGAAAATTTTCTTCCTTTCATTTCAAAATAGATACAAAAAACTTTATAAGTTAAGAATTGTATCTAAAAAAATAAACATTTAAAAATTTACTTTTATGTTTTTTATAATATTAATATATAAAAATACATAAATAATATTATAATGAAAAAAAACTTTATAAAAATTAAAAAATTTTAATTTATACTTTAAAAATACAATTAATATAGATTACAATTATTAATTTATATAAAAAATCAAACAAAAAAAATTAATTTTAGCATCAATACAATACTAAAACACCCTTGCAGCTCTCCGGGCAGGCCCATCCCCTTTTATATGTACAAACAAAAACATCCTATTTAAATTAAACCCTCCTCCCTTTCGCCAAATCGTTCAAACAAAACACCGCCGATTTCCCTTTCCACTCTCTCCTCTCCACCTCGATCGTCGGTTAATTCGCAGAGAGAATCCGAAGTCATGTCGTCCAGAACTCTCGTTGGAGTTGTCGCCGTCTTTGTTCTGGTCTTCGCCATTGCCTCACCGTATGTTGCTGCTCAGATTACTGCCCCTGCTCCTGCCCCTACTAGCGACGGTGAGCTCTCTTCGATTCTTCTTCTTCTTCTTCTTCTTCTCAGTCTTCCTGTTTAGATCTGGTTTTCCTGCTCTCTTTTTTGTTCAACTCTCTCTTAGATCCGTAGTACTAGGAAATTGTCCTTCTTAAGGCTCTACTCTTCTCTCTTCGTTCTTCCTCTTAACGTTCTGATCTGCTTATCTTTTAGGTGTTACAATCGATTAGCGTCGTCTTCTTAGTTCTGTGATTTTATGGAAAGCATTTTTCTTACATTTTAGTCATTGGAATTGTAATTTGATGGACGCTAATAGGCCAATTTTTTTTTTTTCTTTTTACTTTGTTTATTTTCCCAGGAACATCAATTGACCAAGGCATTGCCTATGCGCTGATGCTTGTGGCCTTGGCGCTTACTTACCTCATCCACACCTTCAGCTTTTTTTAAATTGTACTCTGAAATTCCTAGATCAGTGCTGCCGGCTGCACATGGGGGATATTTTTCTGTGAAATCTGAGGGTGCATTTGTTTTAAGTGATCGAAGATAATGGGCTTTGGTTATCATTCTTTTGTTTCTTTCTTCAATTAAATTCCTTTGCTTACTTAAATCCTCTATTTATTCTCTTAATCTTCTCTGTGTAAATGGCAGTACAATATTAACAAGTGCATGGGCTTAAGGGTGCATTAACTGCAAATTTTTTTTAAGGTTAAATTCTAATTTTGGTCCCCTAACTATAAAATTTTATATAATTTTCATTCTTTAATTTTTTATGCATTAATTAGCTCTTTTAACTAAAAATATATATATATTTTTTAATTTTTTTGTCAGTTAATCTATTAAATTTATTTAAATTTATACATTTTTAATCCTTTAATTTTTAATATATGCATATTTTTTTTATCTCTAGACTTTAAGTTGAAGGATTAAAAATATACATATTTAGATAAATTTAACAAACAAATTGATAAAATAATTAAAAAAATGTATTTTTATCAATAAGGGACCAAACAAAGTATAAAAAATTAAAAGATGAAAATTATGCAAAACCTTAAAGTTAAGGGACCACAATTGATATTTAACTTTTTTTTAAAGGAAAGAAATTGATATAAACAGAGAATTTTGAACGTAAACTATATTAAACTGATGTAAACTATGTTAAAATGACGTTTAGATTGGAAAGCGGCCTTTTAATATTGGAGGCATCTTTCCTTTTTATAGTCTAGTGCAACTATTAAAAAAAATATTTATGTAAAACAAAACATTAATACAAAAAACATTATGTAAGGTAAAAGTAAAACTACAATCTTGTAGATTGGCCTTTTTAACTTAACTAGTTCCTGGGATTATGAAAATGGAAAAGATATGCATGTTTTTGCTTTTAAGAAGTATACATTACAAATTTTCAAATTGGTCCTGCATTGTTTGTAACTGTTCATATATTTAAAATAAATGAAGTAAATGCCATTAAAGAAATGGGGGACTGAGCAACTGTTATAGTTTTGCAATTAACCAATTATTACTTCCATATGAAGAGCTTAACAAATTGGAAAGGAATCAGATCAGAGTTTTTTTATGAGAGAAGATGGCATGATGTATTCTCTCTGTAAAAGTAAAAACGGCTCTCCGCTTGCAACATTGAATTGATAGCAGGGAGCCAAACGAACAAGCTTTATTCTGGCCCTTGCCAAACTAATTTTTTGAAACAATCTGTGTGACCATGTCAGTCTGTGGTGCATGTAATCCTTCATGGGTTAGGAAAAATCAGCTAAACAACGACTGTGAAGTATATTTCAGCTGTCATGTCTTTGATGCAAAGCATACTTGACAACTTCATAAAAGGACACAACAATCCCGACAGAAGGGCCAGCACGACCAACTCGGGGACCAATTCCAGTGAATAGGCCCTTCATCCCTCCATCCCTGTTCCAAATGGCAATTAGATTAGTCATTTCCTAAAAGATTTGCTTGCACAAAGGAACAAAGGACAGCATTAACACTACCAAATCACTGAAAAGCAAGCCTATGGTTGCCAATCAGAAAGCAACAATATACCTTCAAGAAATAGGAATAACACAAGGCCCTCCAAATTTACAATATACACCTTCAAGAAATAGGGATAACAAAAGGAAGGTGACATACCTCCAAATTTCCAGCAGTGTCTTCCTTGTATTCATCTTCAATGACCTAGCAGGATCCTTCTATAAACCAAGAAAGAACAGCTGTTAACCAAAATGCAGATATATTCAACTAATATTATACGAAAGTAAAAACAGATAGCTTGGCATCAAATTTGGACTGCATCTAATTAAAGATTGTTTTAGAGACCTCAATCTGCCGCCTTGTTTTTGCAACATCTAGCGGACAAGTAGCAGCAGCTGCAAGGCTTCCTGCAATAAAACCAGCAGTGAAATTTGCACCAAGGATGCTACCCACCTGGGCTTCATCACCCATGAAAGCAAGTATTCTCCTTCTAATCTGCAAAGGAGGGGGTAGAAGAAAGTGCAGCAAGTTAGATATGAACTGATTCTGAACACACCCAGAGGGAAAATAAATATATCCTTTTAATGGATTCAGAAATGAAGCCTAACTGGTTCAAGAGTTGACCAACAAATCGCAGAGAAAGGAACATCACGAGCAAGTTGTGCGCCAAGACCAGTCCACAAGAAGCGGTAGCTTTGGACTGTTATAAAGAATATGCCAGTAACAATAACCATTCAGAAGCTTAGTTTAATCATTGAACCTTCTTATTTGCAGTGAACTAAACGAATTCAGTGACAGAGTCAGCATACATGTCTGAGTGTTGTTTGTGTTCCTGACTGGATTGATGACTCCATCTAATGTCTTAAAAATTCCTGGAGGCTTCACTCCATTTTGAGTTTCTTTAAATGCCTGTTTTTAAAAATAAAAGTAAGAAACATATTATTTGAGCTTCATCAACATATTTGTTCATCCAAACTTTGGAGGAGATAGCACAATTTTGAACAAACAACAAAAACAAACAATTACAGAATGAATGACCATTTTTTTTTCCAATCATATCTTTCTGGCACAAGGCAAATCAAATCTTACAATAAATAAGTACCATGTTTTCAACAGGACAGTAAAATAGCAAACGTTTCATTATCTTTCATCACTGTGTAAATCATATAATTTCTTCTGCCATAGATTACTAGCATCCACCTTATCTAATTGCTAGCCAAAAAGCCTTGGGCAATTAGATTTACAAAAGTTAGCCAAACAGTATTAGAGATAATGTTATCCATACAATTCGATATGTAAACCTATCAGATTAGGTCTGAAGCAAATACAGAAAGTTATAATGCACAACTGATCAAGAGAGTACAAAAAGTGGGATCCAAATAACTCATGGTTGAGTTGATGAAAGTTCAGTCAGATTAGAATTTCAGCACGCAACACTAAGTACCTGCATCCGTGTTCTTGCCAGTTCAACAGGATAACAAGTTACACAAGCCAATGAACGAGCAATTGTGCCTGCAACTAATGGGACATAAGGGCTCAAGGTTGGAGCATTCACAGATGCAAAATCTTCCATTAAATTGCGAAGGATGTCATAACAGGGTAAATAGATCCCAACCTGATTGACAACAAAAAGGAAAATAATATTAGCCAGAAAGTGGGAGGGAGACGTAGAGCAAATGTTTCATCACCCAAATGAAGGGGATAAAAACAGTAATTAACCGGCAAAGAGGAGACTTACAGTTGGAACAGCTAATGCCAGGCTAGCATTTGTTCCTCTCCATAGTCTGGCAAACCCTTCCTGCACAAATTCATTCCTGTGAACCTCCAAAGAATAAGTAATTTGTACAGTGACATATAAAATAGATAATTTAGATCAGAGAACCATTTCTAATTAAGAAGCACATCCACGACACATCAATAGTATACGTTAGGAGACTAAAAGAAACTTTCAATTAAGCATAGGGCATATTTATGAACGGATATCTCCACCTGCATTGTTTGCACCATTTATTCTAAACACTCATATGCATTCCCAAAATATAACATTGCTTCAACCACTGCTGTGTTTAATAGAGCTAAATATGTCTATTTGTGATAAAACATGGAGCCATCTATTTTTCAAGAAAGAAAAGTTGAGACAAACATGTTACAAGATTTCCTCCTTCAGAAACAAAACCTATAAAACAATTAGCCCATACTTTTTATAGGAAGCAGAGAACCATAAAGGCAGCACTTTACATCAACTTACTGTTTCTGAAAGAATCGTTTGCAAAAAACCACTTGGCAATAAGTGAATAAAACAACTAACCTCTTGTATAACTTTGTATAAGACATCCAGTGTTCCCTTATACCGATAAGGTTCAGGAGAGCACACTTGTCCAAGGCCAGCAACCTCACATGCACATCTTAAGTCTGGAAGCATCTAAAATCAAAAAGAAAAAGAAATTTGGAATCCGAAACAGCAAAATTAAGATGCATTCAGCATAGCAGATTTAAATGTAAAAACATAATTCAAATGCAGACCCAGAAGGGCACAGACTGCTAGCATACCGTACTACCATGGAAGCATGCCATGCCACCTAAACTATTGTAAGGAACTCCGGCAGCCTGCGCTTGCAACCTTGTCTGAATGCAAACATACAACATTTAATCCCTTTGTTAAAACATATTGCAGTAGAATTTGAAGATAATAAGGTCAATTGAAAGGAGAAAGAAACAGAATTTGCTTAAAGAATTATCAAAGACTAATCTTGTTCCTACGAATAAAAATGATTAATTTTCTGAAATTTGGGAAAGGAAATGATAGGAGGAATCGGATACCTTGGCGACATCGAGAGGATTAACGATGATGGCGGAGATGAAGGCAGCGCCGGCGGCGGAGAGAGACCTCTCGACGAATCCCAAATCAACATCAGCCAGATTTTCGGAGCGTTTGTTTCGCTTTTCCGGGGATTGGAGGGAAGAATCTCCGGAGGCGTCCTTGAGCATATTGTCGACCTTACCTTCGAAATCAACTCTGGTGGCGGCCGCAGTTAACCATGAAGGGATGTTCTGCCTGGAGGATACCATGGATATATAAGGGGGGTTTGGCCTGGGAAGAGGGTTGTTGTGAAATTATAAAAAAAAGGAAAGGAGGAGAAAAAGGAAGTTAGGAAATTGATTTTGAGTTTGCAGTTTCCTTCTAGGACCTTCCAAATTTCATCAGTTTCCAAGTCAGCCGTGAGTTTGCATTCGGGGGGAAGGAGGACGAGGCGAGGGCAAAGTGATTCGTGGCGTGGAAATAAGGGCGCCAGCGCCAATCACAGCTGGAGCAGGAAGGAAATTGATTTTTTTTTTTTTTAATTTTCTACGCCTTTATATATATATAGAAGCAGATTTTTGGGTGTGACTATGGTCACCATAATAATATTAAGGTTACTTAATATTGATTAAATAAATATTGATTTAATTTAATT